TTGTGGTCCAGAAGATTTTGATAGTGTACAAAATGGCCTATCATAAGGACACAAGCCTATCATGTTAACTATCTTATAGAAGTATTAAAGTTCCAGTAGTTAGGCCATTCATTTAATGTGCATTGAGCTCTTTTTTTTAACATTTTATTGTGATTTGGGTGAAAGTTTGCAGAGTAAGTTGGTTTCCCATTAAAAAGTTGATACATTGATTGTTTTGTGACATTGGTTGCAATCTCCTCAGTGTGTCAGCACTCTCCCCACTTCTACCCTAGGTTCCCCGTTTCCATTTGCCCAGCTTCCCTGCCCCTTCCTGCCTTCTGAATTTTGCTTTGGGGCAGGTGCTGCCCCTTTGGTCTTGTACTATTGCGTGTTCTGAGGAGCATGCCTCTCAAGAGTGTTACTGTTCACTTTGCAGTCCTCCCTATTTGGCTGTTGGGTGATTTCTGGAAGTTGGTTTAGTTCTAGGTTCAGTGGGTGTCTAAGGGCCTTTGTCTCAAGAGTTCCACAAGTCTCTATCAAACCAGTAGGTCTCTTTTTTTATGAATTTGAATTTTGTTCTGCATTTTTCTCTTAGTCTATGCAGGACCTTCTTTGTGATCTGGATCAGGGGAGTCAATAGTGGTAGCTGGGCACTGTCTAGTTCTTTTGGTCTCAGGCTTGTGGAGGGTGGGGTTCATGTGATCCACTGGTCTGAACTTTGAACTAATTATTTCCTTGAGTCTTTGGTTTTCTTCACTGTTCTTTGCTCCAGACAAGAGGCAAGTTGTGTCTTGGATGGCCACTTGCAAGCTTTCAGGACATTGGGCATTTTTCTATTTATTTTAGAGTAAGCTGCTTTTTTGGTACTCTATGAACTAACCTATCAAAATATTGGTAAGAAAGGATCATGTTTTGAAGCAGCATGTCCAGGTTACTTTGTATATAGAATTTTATTATATTCAATAAATCTGGTTGGAGAAAAAAACCTAATCAGAGAAGTATGTAATGAGTATGTGTCTCCCTTTTTAAATTGTGCTTGATGATCCTCATCGAGAGTAGCTAAAAATTGACCAAACCTATAAAGTCTTGCTAAGAACTACTTTTATTACATGTTAACTGCTCCCCTTCAGAGTTTGAAAACAAGTCCATTTATCCTTTCACATGGAGTAGCAATCTGAGTGGTTTTATCAAACTCTTGTCCATGTGATGAAGTGCTCTGGTGGTGAAGTGCCTAAGGCATTTGACTAGGTAACTAGAAGGCTAGTGGTTCAAACTCACCAGCCACTCCTTGGAAGGAAGATTGGGCAATCTACTTCCATAGAAATACCGCCTTGGAAACCCAAGGAGGGGTCCCTATGAGTTGAATCGACTAGACAGCAGTTAAGTTTAGTTTTTAGTTTGTCCATGTGTAGAAATGTTCTATTCCTATACCACAAGTAAAATGTGTGTCACATCATCCATTCTCTCTTGCTTAGTGTTAGTTCATCTGGAATATCCTCATTAAATTCTGGGCTCTGAAGGCCATCCGAAAACCAAACCAAACTCACTGCCATTGAGTCAATTCTGACTCATAGCGACCCTCATTGGGTTTCCAAAGCTGTAAATCTTTACAGAAGTAGATTGCCCTATCTTCCTTCCGCAGAGAGACTGGTGGGTTTGAACTGCTGACCTAGGTTAGCAGCCCAAATGCCTTATCTACTATGTCACCAGAGGTCCTTTCTGAAGTCCATACAGAGTATAAATAAAATATGCCATTTTCTCCTGAAGCATTAAAACTAAGCACTTGATTGCATTCTTGCAGTGTGTGTCTTGCCTCTACGTGAAGGAAATCTGTAAGTAGGAAGAATGATGGGGAACGTGGGGAGTTAGGGGAAAAGCAATGTACCATGGTTAAGGTACCATGTGAGACAAAATCATAAGCACGTGGAAGGTTCCAGAATGCCTTTTGGTGGTGATGAGCTCTATCTGCTTACCCTGTTGTCATTCAAACCTCAAATGTGCTATTTGACCTTAACGCATCTGCTCTATTATAATGTCACAGGTAATGAGTATACAGGAAGAAAGAAAAAAAAAAATGTTGCTCATTGACTGAAATGACAAAAAAAAACACCAAAAACTGTTATTTTGATGTTTCCAAGTAATGCATTTCCTGCAATACTAATTAGTGTGATGAGAAAACTCATTGCCAAGAAATTGTGTGGTATTTGCTTAAGCTTCATTCTAAAATTGTGAGGCTTTGGAGAGTTAGCCCAAGTGTTTATTTTATGCACACTGAGATAGTCCAGTGCCAGCGGAGCAGAAGAGATGGTGCAAATTGTTATTCAGATATAATTAAACCTAGGTCGCATTCAAGTCCATTAAGCAACAGCCTCCAATCCTTTTAATTAATGGGTTCAAATTGGTTGGTCTGAAGGAACTAATTAAATTTTTTCCCAAGATTTTCTATTTAAATAAAACTATTGTGCTTCTTTCATTTCCTCCAGAACTCTTCTTTGCAATTTGGAGTTAATGAAGGTATCAGTGCTTCATGGCAGGCCCTTATTTTCAGAGGTCTGGAAGAAGTGTGACCTCCAAGTCTCTGGTAAAACCTGCCAAGAGACCCTATCTGCATCTTCTAGCACCTTTCTTCTCAGAGTCAAAAAGATCTGGCAGCCCTGTGATTTCATATATCCAACTATGGTCTGATAGACCGTGTTTGCATGGTTTTCCCCTCGAGAGCCAGAACATCCTCCCCAAAGTCTAATAGGGAGGGCAGATTACAGGGTTTTGGGTAGCTTCAAGAAAGACAACCCTGGAGTCTCCATATTCAATGAAGTTAGAATCTTGGGGCTTGGGCTTTCCACTGTTTCCTTCCATTTTGTCTATCACTGTCAGGTACTTCTCCCCAAACCTGAGCCACACAAACACCCTATACACCCAAGTTCTTACCAGCATCTCACTCTGTGAACCATATAATGAGATCGAGGAGCAGGAACCTCCAATTGGTAGTAGAGATCACTCATATATCAAGCAGCTTCCAGGCTCTTACTACCATGTTTCCTGCCAACCCCCCTTCCTGGTCTCCAGTACAAATTAAACCCAGGGACAGTCCCTGAGAGGCACAAATCATTAAGCACTTGGCTACTAACTGAAATGTGGGCAGTTCAAAATCTACCCAGAGGCCGCTCTGAAGAAAGGCTTTGCGGTCTGCTTCCAAAAGATCATAGCCAGTGGAAACTCTTTGGAGCACAGTTCTACTCTGTCACATGTGGGGTCTCCGTGAGTTGGAGGGAGCTGTATGGCAGCTGGTTTGTTTGTTTTTTATGGTTAGCCGAGTCCCTGGATGGTGCAATAAGTTAATGTACTCAGTTGCTAACTGTAAGGTTAGGGGTTCGAGTCTACCTCGAGGTGCCTCAGAAGACAAGCTTGGACATCTACTTCTGAAAAACCAGCCATCTGAACTTACAAAACAAAGTTCTGCTGTAACACGCGTGGGGTCGCCATGAGTCAGAATTGACTTGACAGTGACTAGTTAGCAGTGGGAGCTCTGTCCTCAGACCTTTGTCCCCACTCCACCCCCCATGGAATTTTCTGATAGTGAAGCCAGGGATCTCAAGATTTAAAGGAAATGAAAGGTTATTCCTCAAAAAAGCAAAAAAGTTGTGCAATTTGTGGAAAAGAGCATATAACTATGGCATGTGGAATCTGCAGAAAACCTGAGATTCTAGTTTCTTAGACCAGAAAAAGTTCTACAGGGTCTGCATTATTTTAAAATGTCAAACGGAAGCCATCCTCAGTGTTCAGCATACAGTTTTAGTGTCCAGCATACATTCTGCATCTTAGGGGGTTGCCCAGGTAACCCAGTAGTTTGGACTCAGTGCTCTCCAGCAGAACCAATCTAAATAATCATTCAGTTAACACAGTTGTGAAGGCAGGAGTGCTAAGGACAGGGCCTGGAAAGGAGAATCGAGCATACAGCCATAACTAGTTCAGCAATATCCTTCACTCCCAAGGCCTGGCTGTGGGGGTGAGTGTTCCTCGGCATGAGGGCAGGAGTCAACGATGTCCTGGGACCACTTCTTGATCACTTTTTGTGCCCATGGGAGACTGGAGCACTTTCAGTGGGAGAACAAATATATCACCAAGCCCAAACTTGGATCCAGCTCATCAATAACCCATCAATAGCCCTAAGTGGTGTAAAAAATCCCCATGGTGAGGAAATGCAGTAAGGCATATCTGGGAGGTGTTACTTGATTTTGGACCCAGGAATTGGTGCCACTGAATTGCAGCCAGTCCCTCTTTGTCATAGCTGATGGCAACTAAGGAATTGCAGTGTGTTTTTGCTGCCATCTCTTGGCTGCTGTGGGGAAATGGTTGGGCTGTTGCCGGAGAGAGAAGCAGCAGCCTTGGTGACTGAAAGCTCGGTGCCCTCTCCCCCCATTAAAAGAAAATAAAAACTAAGATGTTGGTGTTCCCTAGTGAAAACCCCATTACGTAAACCTGTGTTTACTGACCTACCATCATTTTAAAGCAGTTTTATTTGAACTGTAATCAGACCACCAAGTGACCTCTCTGTCCCTCTGCCCAGCGTTCACTGAAAGAGCTTGTTGTTCCTGTTAGCTCAGTGAAGAAACCTTCTGTTTGGTTAAGCAAGTGTTTTTCCAGTCATGTCTCCTGGAGAGTTACAGAAAGATTATTGTTGGGTCTTAGTTTTTGTTGCGTTTTTGCTTGTTTGTTTGCTTCTTTCTTTCTTTCAATGCTCCATCCTCCCCTGCTCCTTTTCCACCCTCCTAACACTTTACTTTTCTAGCAGAGCAGAAGAAGATAAATGAGCTGAGGGGCTTTGGGGGCCCTTTAAGAGTCCCTAGTTATATTTTTCACTTTGTTGCAAGCAGACTTTTTTGCCTCACCTGCAAGGCGCTGGGTACTTTCCAGAATCTCTGAGACTTACACATGAATAGACCATGAACATAGCCCCCAATGAGCCAGGATGCCACTTCTGACCGGTATGTTTACCTATTGTGTGTTTTCCTGTCTTACAGTTGTTTGTCGGACTTGGGTTCCCTTACGAGGGCCCAGCTCCCCTGGAAGCCATTGCAAATGGGTGTGCATTTCTGAATCCCAAGTTCAACCCACCTAAAAGCAGCAAAAACACAGATTTTTTCATTGGGAAGCCAACTCTGAGAGAGGTAAGTATCTATCAGAATCATTCTATTTTCAACAATACTAACAATAGCTACTTGTTCAGTGCTAGGATTTAAAACTTCTTAGCCTTGGGTAGTAGGCATTATTAACTACATTTATAATGAACTTATATGGATTGTGTCTGGAGGGGCCAATACTGAGGCTCATACAGGTAAAGTGACTTGATGACTTCACCTAGCTGGTTAGTGGCAGAGCCAGGATTGGATTCGAATCTACTTCTGCCTCACTGCAGAGTGAATGATCCTGTTAGTCTACAACAGCTCTATCATCATGTGGTCAAAGACATCTCTAGCCTTCTTATGTCAGCTGAACTCTGATTTGCTGAATATTTGGAGTTAAGGAAATAAGGAAATCAACTGATTAACAGATATTTGTGGAGGATTTATTGCCTGGGCTGAGCTATGGGGAGTGAAAAATAGGCTGTCGATCTTCAAAGAGGAGACAAGCCTTGAGAGACAAGACAGCTCATGGGTGACTAAAGTAACGTGCCTGGAGTTCCAGCACACCAACTGCAGGCACCCATCCCAAGAAGTAGTCATCACTCAAGCCATCTCAGAAGGCTTATTTGAAATTGGCTTCAGAGATGATCTTAAACTGCCAGTGGCATCACAATTGAAGGCAGTTGAGTTTGGTTTGGGGTAATAAATGTCATTCAGATCCAAGTGTGAGTGGTCAGGCTGGTGTGTCTGTATCTGATTAAAAACAGGTGTGTACACAAAACCCTAAAAGTAGTTTTCTTACTTCTATGTCGTTAGTGGCTCTGCAGGCTGCTGATGAGAGAGATGCCTCTAAGTGTCTGGAGTCTTTGTTCTTCAGGGCCTTCTACTGGGGAATTACCCTGATGGGCATCCCTCCACAACAGGAAGGCTTAAATGCACTGTTTTTAAAGCATACAGTTTAGAGTTCTGCTACTTTTAAGCCTGAATCGGTTCCCTTGACCCACTCCTTCATGGGTACATAGAATGTGTTTTCAATTATTATTCTTTATTGAGTACTCGGAGCTCTTGCCAATCCATAGAAATGATTATTTTGAGAGTTGTTTTCTCTGACTCACCCTTCCTACCATTGATGAAATGGTCACAGGAGATGGAGAAAAATCAACAAGATCCATAGATTATCCTCAAAAAGATTAACCTGAAGCCCAGATAACCTCTGACAGGTGTTAACTGGATGTGTTTGCTTGCTTGCCTGCCTTTTCCCTCTGCCAACATAACAATTTTGAGTCCTACATTTTGGGGCAGTTCGTTCATTTATTACTCAGTGATACTTATTATGAACCTGTGTGTCAGGTACTATACAATGCACTGAGGGCATGAAGATCAAGAACATTCCAACACTGTTATTAAAGAGCTTATTCTTTGGAAAGGTTCAATGAGACGCTCTCCAACAGTCAAAATCACAATTTAGAGATCTGTACATTAGCATAAAGGAGTTCTGATGGCATAGTGGTTAAAGAATTTGGCTGTTAACCGTAAGTTCAATGGTATGAACCTAATAGTCACTCCATGGGAGAAAGATGAAACAGTCAGCTTCCATAAAGATTTACAGCCTTGGAAACCCTGTGCAGGAGTTCTACTCTGTCCAAAAAGAAAGGGTCACTGTGAATTGCAATGAACTTGATGACAGTGGGTTTGGTTTTTTTAGGTTACATTCGCATAGGGCTGACATATGTGAAACTTTGGAGTTCTGGGAGAAAAATATGGACTAGGTTTTAATTTAGGTGTAGGAAATCTCTGAACTTTGACTTCTGCACCCATAATATATATTATAATGTTCCATGTTTTTTTTTTCTTTTTTCACCATTTTGGAATAATTTTAGACTTACCAAAAAGTTCCAGAAATGTACAGAAAGTTCTGATATATCCTTCATTCACCTTCCCCTGACATTAACAAAGAAATTAACATTGAGCCAATACTGTTAGCTAAACTACAGACTTCATCAGTTTTTCTGCTAATGTCCTTTTTTATCCCATAGGCTCCAGTCTGTGGAAGTTCCTTAGTTTTTCCTTATCATTGATGACCTTGACACTTTTGCAGAGTAAACCAGAACACCAAACTCACTGCCATCGAGTGGATTCTGACTCATAGCAATCCCCATTGGGTTTCTAAGGCAGTAAATCTTTACAGAAATAGATCACCTAGTCTTCCTTCCGTGGAGCGGTTGGTGGGTTTGAACCACCAGTTTGCAGAGAGCTAATCAGTATTTTTGTAGACTCTCTCAATGGCAGTTTGTCTCATATGTTCTCATGATTAGATTGAAGTTATACATTTTGGCCAGAATACCTCAGGAGTCATATGCCTTCTCACTGTATGTATCTGGGGATAATACATGATACCACTATGTCTTATTACTAATGATATTAGCCTTCATCACTTGGTTAAGTTGGTGTGTTCCACATTTCTCCACTGTCTATTTTGAAGGAAACACTTTGAAACTACGTAAATATTCTGTTTCTCCACACACTTTTGCCCGTTTATTTTACACATATAAGTGGATTTCTCATGCAACGATTATTGCTGTGGTGTTCTGATGGTGATTTTCTGTTTCTCACATCAGGATTTTATTTAAATGTATGCAAAGCAAAGAAACTCATCTCTATTCTTATATAGTGTCTATATGCAAACCTTTGGAAAATAATTAGTCAAAAGTTATCATAGACTACACTTAAGTTGGCAACTGGCACCTTTTTTTATTGTGATAAATATGTATGTAAGAAGACATTTGCCATTATCAGCACTGTTCCTTCATATGTACAGAGCAGTGACACTGTGTTCATCATGTTGTACGACCATCACCATTATCCATTTCCAGATTTTTTTCATCACCTTTAACAGAAGCTCAGTGTTCCTTCAGCAATGAGCACCCTTTCCCCTCTCCCTCCTATTTACCCAACTCAGGAAAAAAAAAAACCTCACTGCCATAGAGTCAATTCAGACTCATAGCAACCCCCACTGGGTTTCCAAGGCTGTAAATCTTTATGGAAGCAGACTGCGTCATCTTTTTTTCTGTGGAGCAGCTGGTGAGTTTAAACCACTGACCTTCTGGCTGGAAGCCAAATGTCTTAGCCACAACACCACCAGAGCTCCTTTCTACTTGCCCCTGGTAACCACTAATCAACTTTAGGCTCGACACACTTGAATTGACACCTTTTTTTAATTGATAATGCTAAGGATTTTGATGGTACTTTACTGTGACTGAGCATTTTTTCCTGAAAATAATTTAGGACACTCTTAAATACAATCTAACCAATGCCTAGTGAATGATACACTCTTAGATAAATCAGATCCTCCAGTGTGAAGCTTTTAAGAAAAATATATTCACTGTTATCTATCAGTTGTCATTATTTAGTGATTTCCTTTTTATTGAGGTCATTCAGGTTTTTTACTCTTGGGGGATAAAAGAGAACATGCATTGGAGCTGCTTCTGGGCATTTGCCTCTCCTGTCTGTTCAGATGACCCATCTGTCCTTAAATGATACTCTAGTCAGAATTACAGTGTGGGATCCTGTCAACAGTTACTCAGCAAGTGACCTCACGTAGATGATTCCATCAGTCCTGGGCTGCCCCAGGAGGGCCAGGATGCAGGAAGGCAATGGACACATGTTTATTGTGTCCCTCTGAGTCCATGGTCCTTGTCTCTGCATTGGGAGAACTTAACAGAACAAGTTCCTGTTTTCCAGGAGCTCAGAATCTGTTGTAGAAGAGTGATCAGTCAGATCTGTAATCAATGGAAGTACAAAAAAATACTAAATGAATTAAGGAGGGGAATTACCTTGGAGTTAAGCTAAGGAGAATATGCTAGGTTAACTAAGAAGGGCTTGGTGGAAGAGCTGCCTTTAAAGGAAAAAGGAGGCAACAGAGTTTCAAGTATGAGGGGCATGAATGTTGAGTTGGAGGAACACCCCTAAGAAGGTCAGTTTACCTCACATCGGAAGGCTGGTTCCATCTGCTGTCCATCTCCCTCTCTGCTGGAGACAGTGAAGAGAGATGACTGGTAGACAGGGCCACACAACCGTGAGTAGTTGCTAGCTGCTGTTGAGGCAGCCCCCAACCCTTGGTGACCCCATGCACAATGGAATTAAATGCTGCCCAGTCTTGTGCCATCCCCATGATCAGTGGCACATCGTATCCCTGTGATCCAGAGGGTTTTCACTGGCTGATTTTCAGAAGTAGATCACCAGGCCTTTCTTCCAAGTCCATCTTAGTCTAGAAGCTCCTCCGAAGCCTGTTAAGCATCAGAGCAACACATAAGCCTCCACTGAGAGACAAGTGGTAGCTACATATGAGGTGCATTGGTCAGGAATCAAACCTGGGTATCCTACGTGAAAGGCAAAAGTTCTACCACTGAAATACCACTGCCCCCAGAGCTTTACGAGTGGTTAGTAAACTTGTTCTCGCACAGCTAAGTGAGCTACCCTCCTCTGCTCTTTTAGCCACAAAGTCCCCCAGCCAAAGGCATTTTTTGTTAGAAAGTGCTGTCAACAATTCTACACATTTTTAATGGTCATATTCCCTAGAAAATATTTTTTTTTCCTCATCGGGTAGAAAAATTTCAACCGAAGTATGTTTAATTACAAACTTGTTTTTTGTGCCAACACAAATTGTTTTAGTGAAGCTGCAGTTTTGCTCCATATAAAGTGCATGTATATCTCTTCTTTGCCCTCATTTGAAGAAAAGAAGAGGAAGTCTAGATTTCTAAATATGAGCTTAGCAGCATATTTTTGCAGTAGACCGGTTTTTAAAACCACAACCTATATTCAAAAGGGAAGAAGTTCCATAATGCCTTAACTAGTGTGTTTTTTCAAGTTATAATATAAATTAATATATGTAATATAAATTGGATTTTTATCTTTATATTGGGGAGCATATTGGTATGTTCTTGATCACTATTCTGGCATTTTGTAAACCATTAGAAATTCTCTGGCTTCAGTTTTTGTTTATCCCATAAAGAGAACTCAGGTCCTCCTTAGAGATTTAATAGCAGCTCTGAAGTAATGTCTCATATTTAATAAGATTTTCATTACTTTTACAAACTCTACTTTAGTAAATTTACTGATTGATATACGATGAAGTAGCTCAGATCAGACGGTTCTCGATAAATTAACAAGGAGGAATGTAACATTCAGAGGGGGAATAATGAATCACAAAATGCCTTACTCATAAAATTAAGTAACCTCAATAAATGCAAATGAATAAAATGATAATGACATAGCACCATTGTATTTTGCAAGTGCTTAGGGCAACTTTGTAAATAAGCAGGGATCTAAAATGGGGAGGGGAGAGAGACTGCTCATATGCAAATGGTAAGTGGTGACTTGATGACAACTTCCATTTACCTTGATTCCATTGTAAGGACTAACTAATTTGTTCTCAAGCCTCCAAAGAGTAAATGATGTGTCTTTTTGCTCATCTTCAGAAGAGGTTTACTGCAGGCATAAATTCAACCCTGAGACTTTTCAAGTCAGCAGGTTTTAAGAGAGTGATTAAAATAAGGCTAGTGTTTACCTTGGGCATTTTTTGGTCTTTGTCTTAAGAAGTCAATACCATGCTTTAAGATGGTCATCTTCCTTCCTGTCTAAAGCTGCTAAATTCTTAGATTTGAATATAACTCTACTACTTTTCTGGCTGTGTAGTCTTGGGGAACTATAAACCCCTCTGGATCTTGGGATCTCCTTGATACACAGTGCCCCCAGTGCTCTATGTGCAGTTGATTAGTTAGCACAATACTCGACCTAGCCCAGAGCTTCATCAATATATATTGAATCCAAAATATGTGCCAAGAGAACAAAAATAGAAGCTTTTTCCAGCTCCATGGGCCTGCAGACTCTAGCTTCCATCACTGACCAGAGCAGAAGTGAGTGTGTGCCAGGAGACTGGGGACTAAACAGACTGATGGGGATGCCTCTGGGCAGGTGATCAACAGGGAGGCAGGAGCAAAGGCTAAGATAACCTGCAGATGTAGGCCACAGAAACCCGTGGGTGGTTGCCAGCAAAGACTCAGAACTGGGGCCCAGTGATTTGTGCTCTGGGTTCCACCCTAAATAGTAGAAGCACATCGTTGATTTGGCAGGATACAAAGAACGGTGGCTAAGAGCCAAAAGGAGAAGTGCCAGTTAAATCCTCCAGCCCTCTGAGTTTATTGGAGTGAAAGATAGAAGAGAGCTGGCTTTCCCTTAAAAGCAAGGACCCTCCACCCTACCAGACCCCAAACTAGTTGCCATCAAGTCAATTCTGACTATCAGTTGTTGTTGTTATTAGATACCATTGAGTTGGCTAGGACTCATAGCGACCCTATATACAACAGAACAAAACATTCCCTGGTCCTGTGCCAGCCTCATAATCCTTGCTATACCTGAGCCCATCATTGCAGCCACTGTGTCAGTCTATCTCATTGTGGGCCTTCCCCTTTTTCATTGACCCTTCACTTTACCAAGCAAGTATCCTTCTCCAGACTGTCTGGGTAGACTCAAATCTCCAACCTTTCAGTTAACAGCCATGTACCTTAACTGTTTGCACCACCCAGGGACTTTGTTATCAGACCCCCCACCTCCCTTTTCTAACAAAGAGATTATGATATCTACTTTTTCTCTCCTGAAATGAAATTCATAAATAATATAACCTGCTTACATATGTAATTCTGAAAAAGTAAACATTCCCTAACCCTAATGTAAAGGAGACTGCTAAAGGGGCAGGGAGGCAGCATCTTCTGACCTCCTCTAACTCCACAAGAGGACAGAATCAGCATCAGCAGCCCAAGACCTGTTCTTATGAGGCCAGACATGCCGCCACCCTCCAGCCCTCTTACTAACCTTGACACCAACTGTCCCTCCCATGGAACCCATCACCTCTGCTGGGTTCAATAATTCACTGCAATGGCCACACAGAACTCACAGATTATGGGGTTTATTAGGGAAGCAACTGGCTACAATTCAAGTTCAGGAATGTGCTCAGTCTCTCTCAGATGTGCCAGCCGCCTCTCTCAGTAGCACATCTCTCTCAGTAGCACATCTCTCTCAGCAGCATGTCTTTCTCAGCCAGCAGTCAGAGAGATTCCTTCTGCCTCTACGATGGCTCCTTTTGAGCCTGGCAGAGTGGCCAAAACCAACCAATCCCAAAATCAAGAGTTCTACACACGTAAGAGAGAGCAAACTTCCCAGAAGATTACTTCATGCTGCTTCAACAGAAATATCCCAGGTGGATAACTAACAATCAGGTACTCAGTTGCTCACAACAAAGTGAGAGTTACAAAGACTATGGCTAGAAAAGCTATACCATGTAATTTACTACACCACAGAGACATAAAAGTAAAATAGTTTATAATAAAGTTAACACATATTTCAGTAAGTATATACTCAAGAACTATACTAGACTAGACTCAAGAGCAATACTGTGGCATCATTCCTCCTTAAGATGAGAAAGTTTGTATTTAAGCAGAATAAAACCTTCAGCTGAATGTGATCAACCTTTTTTCCTTTATACTTGACATTGTGAAATAGGAGCTAAATAAAAAAAAAAACACATACACCTGCATGCATCTACACACAAACGCACCATATAATTGTCATTAATGTGATAGCTACAAATATAGACTGATTTGAGTGTGTTTTTCTAGAGTTCCAGATCTCATGAGTAGCATTGACTTTGCTCCCATGATTTCTCCAAAATGGTAATGGTTTACTGATGAAGTTCCAAATAAAACAAGAATTAAACATCCCTTGATTTCCACAGTAATTACGTTCCTGGGAAATTCAGTGTATATTAAAACTGTACCAAAGGGTTATATTTTATAAGCTCACATGAAAGCCCAGTGGGGCTCTGAAAGTTTTTGAGAAGTGGACAATTCTTCCTTGTGCAGGACTGTCCCACATACAGTGAAGCATCCTACATCCATGGGCCCCACCCATGGGTAAAGGCAGCACGTCCCCCAGTCATGGTGATAAACAAAAATGCTCTCACATATGCCCAGAATGTTGCTTTAGACCATGACATTAAAGGGATATGAAAATGAAAGTGGAAACAAATTTGAGGGATACATGTAACTATCTTCAAGAACAGACTTTTAAAAGAATTCTGTATGAGCAATATTCACACTTGGTTTCCTGGCCACCCCTTTGTTCTGAAAATAAAACATCTTTTGGGACAAATACCACCTTTCCTTACTCTTCTGATTGCAAATTGTCTTTATGAATACCAAGGCTGCAATGCAATGCTGGCATATGTTTCTGAAACCATCCCAAAATTCTGTTCTCTGGACAGGTCATTTCTTATTCTGTCACATTTCTGTACGTACCATTAATCATCCTCTTATGACCTTAAAGCCTTGGTTTTTACTGCATTTTTCCCATGCTTACCTGTTTATCCTAGATAGTGTTTGTAATGGGCACTGGGGCACTGGTTTGATCTGATTTTTTCAGGGTTGGAGTATGGGTAAAGGTAAGTGTTGGTTATTCTATTGTGTGAGGTTGAAAGTTAAAGCTATCTGTAACAGCCTTCATGCCACTTGATTGTGACATTCTCGTTTCCAAATGAAATTCAAGATTTAGAGTCATCACTATTTTGGTTGTTGTTAGCTGCCATCAAGTTGGCTCTGACTCATGGCAACCCCATGTATAACAGAATGACAGAAACATTGCCCAGTCTTATACCATGTTCACACCCATTGGTATGCTTGAGTTCTTGTTGTAGCCTCTATGTATTTTGAGTTCCTCCCATCCTGGGGATCTCATCTTCCAGGACTATACCAGACCATATTCTGTTTATGATCCATAGAGTTTTAATTGGCTAATTTTAGGAACTATGCCACTAGGCCTTTCTTCCTACTATGTCCTAGTCTGGAAGCACCACTGAAATCTGTCCACTATGGGCGAACCTGCTGGCATTTGAAATGACAATGGCATTGCTTCCACCATCATAGCAACACATAAGGCACAGTACAACAAACTGATAGACAGGTGATGATACCTACTTTGGAGCCATCACTATTATGTTCTCTGCTTATGAACATTTAGGAGATTTTTATCATTGAGAAAGACAGGACTATTTTGTTACCTACACAAGCACAACTCAGTACCATAAAATGCATCACACTTGATCTAGCCCAAAAGGTTAAAAGAAAGTAAATGTGTGTGACACTGAGATGGTTTGTTTTTTATTTTCCAGCTGACATCTCAGCATCCTTATGCTGAAGTTTTCATCGGCCGGCCACATGTGTGGACTGTTGACCTCAACAACCAGGAGGAAGTGGAGGATGCAGTCAAAGCAATTTTAAATCAAAAGGTGTTTTTTCATTATTATTATTGCTGTTATTCCATTTTTCCCATTTGTAATATGAACTGCAGTGTGTGGAGAGCACTAAAGGCTCGTTGTTATAGTAAATAGAGCTTTCCATGGCAGCTTAACCCTGGAATTAGAAAATAGCCAAGCTGGAGGATTTGACCTTGGGATTTCATAGATGTTCTGTGAAATGAAAACAGAGGTGCTGCACAAATGTGTGCATTGTATAGATTCTACACACTCTTTTGGCATTATTTTTGGGTGCCAAGCATGGTAGTAGAAACTTGAATTGTACTTGGCTCAGTGATCTAGTTACATATGCTTTTCAAAGATGTGAAAAGATAGGCCTGGTAGCCATTGTTTCACCTAATAAAAAGAGAAACCAAATAGAACCAAACCCACTGCCATTGAGTTGATAGCAGCCCAATTGGGTTACCAAGGCTGTAAGCTCTGGTAGCATAGTGCCTAAGGCACTTCACTGCTAACCAGAAGGCTGGAGGTTCAAACCCACCAACCACTCCTCGGAAGGAAGATGGGGCAATCTACTTCCATAGTGATACTGCCTCGGGAACCCAAGGAGGGGTCGCTATGGGTTGGGTCCGACTCCACGGCACATAACAGCAATAACAACACAAATCTTTACAGAAGCAAACTGCCTCATTTTTCTTCCATAGAGCGGCTGGTGGGTTCGAACCACTGACCTTTTGGTTAGCACCCAAATGCTTTAACCATTGTACCACCAGAGGTCCTTTAATAAAAGGAGAGGATAAGGAATGATTAAAGAAATACTGAGAAATGTTTTGTGTAGCATATGTTTTTTCTACCTAAACACTTCATAGGATTATGTTATGTAAAAATAAGGACCATTTCTGGACTCTTCTGATCAATTCAGCAGACATTTATTAAGTATATACTATACACAGAGCACCCTAACCCGTTGCCACTCTAACCAGTTACCATCAAGTCAACTCTAACTCACAGTACCCCATGTGTGTCTGAGTAGAACTGTGCTCTATAGGGTTTTCAATGGGTGATTTTCAGAAGTAGATTACCAAACCTTTCAAGGCACCTCTGGGTGGGCTCGTACCTATAACCTTTTGGTTAGCAACCAAATATGTTACCATTTGCACCACCCAAGAACCCCTTGAGCCACTCTAGGGAATGCTTCTATGAACATAAATGAAGCTCACCTATAGGAAGTTTACCATCCAGTAAGAATGAATTAAATTATCCTCACCCCAAACCAGTACTGCCTAGGACTATGTCAGGTACACCCTGTCTCCTATACTTCTCTATCAGAGCAGTATTTATACATGGTTATAATTTTTTTTTTAAGAGAAGCAGTTCAGGTATGGTTATGAGGGTAGGCCTGAAATCAGACAGCTTGAGTTCAAGTTCTGACTCTACCACTATCTGTCCTCTTAAGCAGTTACTTAACCTCTGAGCCTCAGTTTAGACTAGGGCCAACATTACCTACTTTATTGGACAATTATGAGAATAAAATGATAGCGTATATAAAATGCTGACACTCTACAGGGTGAGATAGTCTGCTTCCATAAAGACTTACACAGCCTTGGAAACCCTATAGGGCAATTCTCCTCTGTTCTGTAGGGTCACTATGAGTTGGAATTGACTTGATGGCAGTGGGTTTGGTTTTGGCTTTATTCTTATCACCATGATTGGGGAAGGTGATACACTTCACCCATGATTGGGGCCCAGGGATGTCCTCTGTAAGGAAGAATTGTCCACTTCCCACACAACTTCCATCTTAGTTCCATGGACTTTCATGTTAGTTTTTAAAATCTAACTCTTTGGTACAATTTTAATATACTCTGAATTTTTTTAGGAAGGTAAATACCATGTAAATCAAGGGATATTTATATTCACCCTAATGGGAATGCCTTGTGTATAGAACGCTTACAGGGAGGTGCAGAGTTCTATCTGCTCATCCCTCATTGAAGCTGACTGTGCTTACTCCATAAATCCTTAAATGCTCTACAACTTAAAACCCTGGACCACATTATTCCACCTTATTCCAAAAATTATTTGAGGCGCCTTAAAAAGTAATAATAAAACAATAACTGATATGAAGAGAGAACCTCTTTTATGAGCTTCATCTCATTTAATCCTTCTATTATTCTGTGGAGTGGAACTGTTATTCCCATTTTGTAGATGTGAAAATTAAAGATGAAAGAATTTAAATAACTTAACACAAGATCACACAACTAGTGTGAACCTGTATTCAAACCCAGACTTTTTTTTGACTGGTTTGTTAAAACAGTGTAAAATTTAAAAAGGTAAAAACATGAAATGGATGAAGTAAAGGGAAAGATAAGAATAGGAAAAAAAAAAGATGGCGTAAGAAATTAGGTTAAGACCAAAATTATTGTCATGAAAATCCTTATACTTGTTATAAATGGATCAGAAACTTGGTGCTAGGCTTTTTCATGTTCAATTACAAGATTTTTAAATTTTAAATTACATGACACTCAAAAAGCAGACAAACAGGACCCATCATTAAGAAAGGACATGGTCAATAAAACAAGACTAGAAATGGCCTAGATGGTGGAATGATTAGAGAGCAAGTAAGGATTTAATTGAAAAGATGAACAACATGTATGAACAGATGGGGAATTTCAGTGGAGAGATGGGGAAAAAAAAAATAAGCCAAATAAAATGCTAGAAATGAGCAAAACACATTACCTGAAATGAAGAATTTGTTCTGTGGAGTTATAGGTAATCTGTACACAAGAGGGGGAAAAAAAATAGTGAATTTAAAGACTTGTCAGTAATAATTATTGTAGCAGAATGAGAAAATGAAAAATGAGGGGGGAAAATAGCATCTAAGATTTGTAGGACAATATCAGTCTAATTTATGTGTAATTGGAATCTCAGAAAAAGGAGAAAGAGGTACAGAAGAATTATTTCAAGAAATAATAGCTGAATTTTTAAAAAAATTAATGAATGGCATTAACTTCAGGTCCTTGGGTCTCAGTGAAACCTGAGTGGGATAAATACAAAGAAGAACACACCTAGGTGCATCATAGTCAAATTGCTGAAAATCAAACAGAAGGAGAAGATTTTGAAAGCAACCATAAAAAAATGTAACAGAGACCATAAAGGGTTCAGAGGGGCCAGAACCTGTGAGACCTTTAAACAAACTATAATAAGAATCCTGGATTTTATTATTAGTGTGCTGGGAAGTTTTGACCAGAGGAGTGCCATGATCTAGTTTACATTTTAAATTATCAAGAGACATTTTATGTATGCCTAACTCAAAATCTTAATGGTTAGTAAGTAGCATAGCCAGGACTCAAAGCCTGGTCTTCTTCTACCTTCTAAGAGTGAGGTCAGGCCACACTGTCACGTGGTCCCAGGAAGGATTTAGCTGATCTGAGAACAATCCCTTATAGGAATTATATCCAAAGTTGGAAAGTTGAGATGGGGAAAAGTGGGTACTAGAAGGGACTAGAAATCTCACAAGAAGCAGTGTCAAGAAGAGGAAATAGAGAAGATATGAACATAATGAAAAGTTTCAAAGGCCAGTGGTAACTACACATTGCAGCCTACAAACATCCTTCCTGTGACTCTGTCCATGTGAGGAACAACCCTTTTTCCATAAAGCTTCTCCACATTTGACCCTACATGGGTTTCTCTGTGATTAGATATGGTCCCAACAGCCCCTTTCATTCTACCCCAAAAGAGGCCTTGACTTATTCCAGAAGACTGTTATGCAGAAAAACTGTCCCTACCTCTGTCTACACAACAGTGCAAATGTGAAAGGCTTATCAGTGCTCTCTACCCCCAAATCCAGAGGTCTTGAGAGGTTCCTCACACAGAGGACCCTACTCCTATCCTTAGAACGGCTGGTGTGGCTCACTGGCAGAGGTGGCTTAAGAATATAATTACTTTTTTTTTTTTTTGCTTTTCCTTTATAGGAAAATTGTTTGGCTTCATATCCTTTAAAACAGTGAACTGGCCACAAAGCACTTAATGAGTCAGCATCCCTTTGGTGAACTTGGGCTTGGTTGATAGGCAAACAGAGGAAAAAACATTCTTCTGAGTTTACTGCATTAAGCCTTTTGAATTCATTCACTTCCGTTTTCTCATGGTTGCTCTTTGGGATATGTTACAGGAAAAGCTTGGGTTTTCAGCCTACTTCCCACCATGTAAATGATCTATTGGTCTGATGGCAGATGGCCACCAGTGTTCATCTATTTCACTTAGAAATTGGACTTGTCCACTTATAAATGTACTAGAACATGCATGGCCCCTGTTGTACGTATTCTGTGTTCCTTCTGTAAACCTTTGAGAAGAAACATATCCCTAGACTAGTTAGAGAAAGCTTCTGGAGTCAATCATGAATTAACAAATAAATGTCCTTTAAAATAAAATTTTAAAAATTACATTTAGTGTAAAGGGCTATGTCTGGGCCCCAGAGGCCAGAGCAAGTGTGAAAACTTGAGATGAGAAGGAACATGTTTGGAATTTGAAAATCAGTGATTCAAAGTGTTTTGAGCTCTTCAGAGATGAGCTCTCTGAAATAGTCACTTCTCTGTTCTTACAGAAAAGTTTTTCCATGATACTATGGTACTTATGGGAGCTCTGGTAGCATAGTGCCTAAGGCACTTGACTGCTAACCAGAAGGCTGGCGGTTCAAACCCACCAGCCACTCCTCGGAAGGAAGGTTGGGCAATCCTACTTCCGTAGTGATACTGCCTCTGAAACCCAAGGAGGGGTCGCTATGAGTCGGGGCCGACCCGACGGCAAATAACAACATGGTACTTATGGTTCAGTTTCTCTGAGTTTTATCTAGATGGACGGGAACAGGTATGGCTGAGCTGCAACCAGTATTATGCATCATCTAGTTATGCATTTAAAGGTGCATTATGATGTCATAAAATCATGGTTAAAGATTATTTCAAATCTACAGTAATATGTGGCTCAACACACAGTCAGGGGAAGAGAATGTCCTGAGCCCATCTCCTTGGCTGCCCACTAAAGGATGTCTCTGATGTCAATTGTCTCACATATATTTTGCCTAGTTCTCTAGATATATGCAAGTATTGATTTGAAAGGGAGACGGGGAAGGTGCTTGTCTACCCTGGTACCAAAAGATGCTATCGGACCCTCTCAAACTCTAATAGACTGGGATTGTTGGTCATTTTCTCCCAAATGAAATTACCTTTTCAGTTTGGTAATGGCAGCTAGCAGTGATCCTGATAACACAGACCTTATAGTGTTGGCAGAAACACCATGCAACAGAGATCAAGCCCACATTTCTTCCCCTTTCTTCAAAACCAGACCAAACTCACAGCCATTGAGTCAATTCTGACTCACAGCAACCCCATCTGGGTTTCCAAGGCTGTAAATCTTTATGTAGATCACCCCGTCTTCCTTCTGCAGAGCTGCTGGTAGGTTTGAACTGCTGACCTTCTGGCTAGCACTCAGATGCCTTATCCACTATGCCACCAGAGCTCCTTTCGCATTTCCTCAGGTATCATAATATTGATCAGATTGCCTCCTCCATTCCCATGAAGTGACTTCCAGTGTTTCCTATTACCCTCAAATCAAGTCGAGGCTCCTTAGCATAGAAATCTCAAGGGTTTTCTGGGAATCCTGTTCAACCTCCTGTTCTGGCTGTCCTCCTTCCATGTCTAATCTCACACTACTCACTCCACCTGGAGCTATTGGCACTCCCCAATCTTTTGCTTGCTGGGAACATACTTGGCCTTTAAAACCCAGCATCAGTAGAAGCTTGCTTTGACCTTCTGGCCCCCCAGCTGAACTCTTTGTGGCACTTTATTGTTCTCTGTTTTTGCATTATGAATCATTTGGTTACATGCTAGCTTCGTCTCCTAACTCAGACCCATGTTTTTAGCATTGTCGTGGGTCCTTGAACTGTTGTTCACCATGTGTCTTATGTCAGAGCAATCTTTCATTCAGCAGATGTTTACTAATTTCTTACATGTGTGACACAGAGCTCAGCACCAGGATACAAAAAGGCCCTTCCCCATGGAGCTTTACCTTCTAGCAAGTTATAATCACAACTTTTGTCGATGCCTACTATGTACTAGACACTGAACTAGGCACTTCACTTTTTAAAAATATATAGTCTTCCTATAGGACTTATCTCTAAAATTTATAGAAAACTCCAGCACCTCGACAACAAAAAAAGATTAACAATCCAATTAAAAAGTGGGCAGAAGACATGAAGAGACACTTCACAAGAGGATATTCAGGTGGCCAGCAAATACATGAAGAAGTGCTCACAATCATTAGCCGTCAGAGAGACACAAATCAAAACAACAATGAGATACCATTTCACCCCAGCACTAATGGCAAAGTTCAACAAGACAGAAAATAACAAATGCTGATGACCATGTGGAAAGATTGAGACTCTCATACACTGCTGGTGGCACTGGAAAATGATACAACCACTGTGGAAAGCAGTATGGCGATTCCTTAGAAAGCTGGAATTAGAAATACCATTTGACCCAGCAATCCCATTACTAGGTAAATATCCTAAAGAGATGAGAGCCAGGACAAGGACAGATATATGCACACCCATGTTCATTGCAACACTGTTTACAATAGCAAAAAGATGGAAACAACCTAGGTACCCATCAACAGAAAAATGGATAACCAAACTATGGTACATACACACAATGGAATACTATGCAACACTGAAGAATAATGTAGAATCTGAAAAACAGTGCATAACATGGATGAACTGGAGGACATTATGCTGAGTGAAATAAGTCAATCACAGAAGGACAAATATAGTATTAGTTCATTATTGTAAAAAGTCAAGGAAACATTTATATATGGAAGGAAACTTTGTATGTTGGTTACCAGGAGTGGGAGGGGCAGGGAAGGAACACTGCAAAAAAAAAAAGCATTGACCCATGTCACTTTAGTTTGGTGCATTTCCCTGTACATAAATTATATTTCAATCATATATATATATATATATATATATATATATATATATATATTGTTGTTGTTTGCCATCAAGTCGGCTCCAACTCATAGTGACCCCTCCTTGGGTTGCTGAGGCGGTATCACTACAGAAGTAGATTGCCCAACCTTCCTTCCGAAGAGTGGCTGGTGGGTTTGAACTGTCAGCCTTCTGGTTAGCAGTCAAGTGCCTTAGGCACTATGCTACCAGAGCTCCTATATATATATATATATATACAGCTCCTATATATAGGAAGATGGGGCAATCTACTTCCGTAGTGATACTGCCTCAGAAACCCAAGGAGAGGTCACTATGAGTTGGTCCGACTCGACGGCACATAACAACAACATATACATATATATAGTCTTCCTATAGCTTGAAAGAGATGGACTTTTCTTATCACCATTTTACATAAGGCACCTGAGGCTCAAGATGGTAGTTTGCTCAGGGTCCCACAGGTAATAAGGAGCAGGATGAGATTGTGAACCCAGGTCCATTGACCTCAAAGTCCATAGTATAGTCCCGCTGTGTGTGGACACCTGTATGTTGAGTGAATCAGTGGATGACTGGGAAAATGCTGAGTGCCCTCTGTGTCTTCCTTTCTCATGGTTCTATGTTTTCTATGTTTTGTTTCCATAGATTGAGCCGTATATGCCATATGAATTCACATGTGAGGGGATGCTGCAGAGAATCAATGCTTTCATTGAAAAACAGGTAAGGCTTTTTGAAAGCAAATCTGCCTTTGCCCTATCCTGCTTCCTGTTACCCCTAGAAAGTTCTCAAGAACAATTTGGAGCTCACCGTGATTTCACAGTTATTTTCCAGCTTTGGAAACTACAAAGCCAACTAATGGCTTGTGGACTATTAAGCCTGCCCTTTTCTGATTGCACAAAGGCATCAGTCTTTTCCTGGGATGGTGATGGTTGTTGTCATATGCCGTGGAGTCAGACCCTACTCATAGCAATCCCTCCTTGGGTTTCCGAGGCAGTATCACTACGGAAGTAGATTGCCCAACTTTCCTTCCGAGTTTCCTGAAGTAACTTAAAAATTTAGTTCTTTAGTATGATCTTTATGTGAAAGGTCAAAACCAAAAAAACAAACTCACTGCCGTTGAGTCAGATCTGACATAGCGACACCTCCTTGGGTTTCCAAGACAGTATCACTACGGAAGTAGATTGCCCCATCGTCCTTCTGAGGTAAAAGAAGGTCAAATGGATACCAGAAGACACTGTAACAGTTGACGTCCTCTTCAACTATCAGGATCTATGCCCTTGAGTGAATGCTGAGGGACGTCACATAAACTTTTCGGGAAACAGAGACAACTCTCTGGTTCTTCCTGATCTTCATTTCTCTTTCTAAGAAAGTCAAGGACTAATAGTTTCCAAAGGTCCTTTAATAACAAAAGTTCGGTAATTCTAAAAATGTTAGAACTCTTCTTGGTTTTCACACATCTTTAAAAACAAGACCCCTTTTCAAATAAAACCTTATGTGAATCCTAAGCGTAAAACAGATAAAAGCAGAACTTCAGTTCTGAAGCAAGAGAGAGTTCCAGAAGCCCCACCACCCCCAACAGAGTTTGGAAACTACAAATTGTGTTCTTGGAAATAAAGGCCAAGAGTGTCATTGGCCATCGCTTTTATGATATTTTAATTCCTTCAAGCTTCAAAAAGCAACACAGAGCTGGAAATAAATTGAGAACCCCCATGGGTAGGGGAATATGAACTCCTTGACCAGATTCCAGAAATAGGGGGCTCCCTTAAAGTGTAAAGTACAGTGTATCAGGGTGATCAAGAGATCTTACACCATAGGAGGTAAGGATTGTATGGCTGAAAATAGAAATAGTGTGGTGAAAGTATAAGTAGACACAGACTGTAGTCCCAAAGTAGGTTACAAGGGAAGAGTTGGAGATTGGAGGAGATTTAAAGTTTGACAAGCCACCAATAGCTCTTGGTGCTGCTGTTGAAGAGTGGAGGCTGTGGGACAGGGTCTCCAGGGTGACATTTCTGGTATCCGGAGTTCTCCTTAGCAGAAATTGAGGAAAGGGCATACATGGGAGTCCAGGACTAAGCATTTCTGATTGTGTGATTCTGGCAACATTACTCAACTTCTCTGTACCTTAATGTCCTCCTTTGTAAAATAAGGATAATAAAAGGACTTGCCTCATGTGAGGATCACATGTGAAGTGCTAAAACAGGGTCTGGCACACGGTTTCAAGAAATGCAAATTAGTCCTATTGGTCACTCAGCAGACTTGCCATGAGGGCAAAGCATTTGAATCATGATCTCATTTAATCTTCATAGGATGCCTAAGAATGCTTTACTTATTTTACCCTCATCATCATAACTCTGGTAGCCATATATATACAAACGTGGTATGAAGCACTCTCTAAACATTTAATTCTCATTTAATTCTCCCAGTTATCCTATGTATAAGTTTATTAATCCCATTCTCTCAGTATGGAAACTGAGCCTCATAGTCATGGGACTCCTAAATGGTGGGATTAAGATTTGATATTGGTTCCATCTGTGGCCACAGCTACACCAGCAGCCTGGTTGGGCTGTTGGGAGCTGGCAGGTGTCCACCAGCTGCCCTTCCATCTCTCTGATCTAAGAGAGGGACTTCTATGGCCATCTTCAGCCATGGATTTTAAGACTATCTTAGTTTCCTTAAGAAGCTCTGGTTGCATAGTGCCTAAGGCATCTAACTGCTAACCAGAAGGTTGGCAGTTCAAATCAATGAGCCACTCCATGGAAGGAAGGCTGAGCAATCTACTTCCTTAAAGATTTACCACCTAGGAAACCCAAAGGGGGTCGCTGTGAGTCGCTGTTAGTTTCCTAGTAGTGCTACAACATAAACACCACACATGAGTGACTTTAACAAACAGAAATTTATTTTCTCACAGTTCTGGAGGCCAGAAGTTCAAGTTCTGGGCACCCATCTCTAAGGGAAGGTACTCTGTGTGTCTGCTCTGAGGGAAAACCCTTCTGTTGGCTTCTCTATCTCTCTCTCTCTCTGGCATTCCTTGATGATCCCCATCTGTCTCTTCCCCATTTGTGCCTACTTGACTTTGTTTCTCTTGTGCTCTTTCTTTATTATAAAAGTGATTAGGTTTAAGACACACCCTACACTGATATGCCTCATTAACATAACAAAATGAGATTATATTTACAGTTATAGGGGTTGGGATCCTAATACATATTTTAGGGGACACAATTTAATCCTTAACAAAGCCATCTCAGCCCTGTCATCTCAGGAGGCTACCTGAGATCTAACTAGATCCCTGAAGCTGCTTCTGAAACCCACCTCCTCTTTTTTCCTTCACTCTCTAAGGGAAAATGGGTACTCACCACCACTCTAACAACTCTTTCTCACGCTTTTGCAGGCTGTCTTTAAGTCTTCTCTGAGCTTATGAAACTCAGGCCTCTGCAGTCAGTCCATATAAGTTCTCATGTCCTCTGGGGCCTGTTCTCTATTGCTGAGTTTCCTTTCAAACAGGAAGGTCTCATTCCCAAAATAGACCTTGCAAAATGCTTCCTAGTGCAGCGCCCATGCCTGGCTTGTTCCTGTCTATATCCCAAAGTGTCTGGCACATGGTAGGTGTACAGTAACTGCCAATTTAATGATGACTAAGTGAATGAAAAAGTAAGTGAGTGAGTGTGCTATTTATTCACACTGGGAACCAGGAAGCTCATCTCGAACTTGATAATTGGGGAAATGTTACTAAAATTGTCTCCTAGAAAATATGCTAATAAAACTGCCCTTTATGGTGGTGTAGGACCTAAGGCATTTGACTGCTAATCAGAGAATTAGGGATTCAAACCCACCAGCCACTCCTTGGAAGGAAGATTGGGTGTTCTACTTCCATAATGATACTGTCTCAGAAACCCACGGAAGGGTCACTGTGAGGCTGTGAGTCAGATCTGACTTGACAGCAGTGAGTTTGTTTTTTTTCTGTTTTTTGTTTTTGTTTTTTGGTTTATACTGTCTTGTAGGTATCAACTTTTATGCTGTGATCTGCAGTTCACATCAACCCAGAGATCTCTTTTTTGCCTGTTTGTTGATTCATTCATTCACTCCATGGTCATGTACTGTGCTGAGAGATAGGAAAGCAAAGAAGTCAGAGGCTCAGTCCCTGCCCTTGGACTGCTTCAAGTTTCTTGGAGAAGGTGGTCAAGTCCACAAACAATGCCACTGCTATAATAGTGATGTAGCCAGATGCTTTGGGATCATATAACCCAGCATGCAGGGAGGGAGAAAGGGATGGTATCTTAGTCAGAGCTCTATAGAAAAACGGGGAAGGGGTGGACATTGGTGGTTCATGGTCTCCTACCACGCAGGAGATCAATGCACCTCATGTGCAGTCATCACCCATCTGTCAGCGGAGGCTTCAGTATTACCATGATACTGAACACTTTTCAGTAAAGCTTCCAGACTAAGATAGACTAGGAAGAAAGATCTGGCTAACTGCTTCCAAAAGTCAATAAATAAAACCCTGTGGGTCACAGTGGTCTGATCTACAACTAATCTTGGAGATGGCACAGGACCAGGCAGCACTTCATTTCTTTGTGCATGGAGTTGCCAAATGTCAGGAGGCAGCTCAACAGCAGCCAACAACATAGAGAGACAGAAATTGATTTACTGAATCAATCTGAAGAACTGTCACACACAATTGTGAGGGGCTGGCAAGTCCAAAATCTGTAGGTCAGGCAATGGAAAGAGTCAGTTCAAGCAAAATGTCTTTTCAAAGTCTGGAGGCAGAATACACCCTGGGGAGACTCCTTTTTGCTCTTAAGACCTTCACCTCAGTGGATGAGGCCCACCTACATTTTTGTGAATAAGCTGCTTTGCTTAGGGCCCAGTGACTTAATCACACATAATTACTGTCTAACAACTTTTAGAGTAGCATTTGACCAAACAACTGGGCAGCATGGGCTATCTAAGTTGGCACATACATTCACTGCCCCAGGAGAGGAGAGTGCATCAGAGTCCTCTTGCAAAAGGTGCATCCTGAAGGCAAACTGGTGGTTCAAGGAAGGCTATACAAGTCAAGATGCAAAGGTGGGGAAAAAGAGAAATTGAGGTGAATTATACACATTTAGGTGCGATTGAGGAGAGGTGAGATGGGAGAAAAGGCTGGAGAAGTAGTGGATCATGAAGAGACTCAGATTGGAAGTCTCAATGCTGGGACAGTGATAAAGAAGGGTTTTAATGTGGGTGAGGGCCAGTGATGCTATCGGATTTATGTTTTAGGAAAATCATTCTAGGAAACTTGTGTTGGGGGCAATTCTTATCAAACCTTCTCCCAGTGCTACTAAACAAGTAGTTAAAACCAGTTGCTGACAAGTCACTTCGACTCATGGTGAGCCTGTGTGTGTAGAGTAGAAGTGCTTTGTAGGGTTTTCAAGGCTGTGACCTTCTAGAAACAGATCACCATGTCTGTCTTCCTGAGGCGCCTGTGGGTAGGTCTGAACTGCCAACCTTAACTGTCTGTGCCACCCAAGGACTCAAAATGAATAATAAAGGAACCTATTTTGAGTTTATCCCAGGGACTGAGAATAAATGTTTTTGGACCCCAGAATGTTCCCCCAGTGCTCCAGGGGAAAACTGGCAGTAAAGACCCCATTAGTTCACAGATTAGGCCTTCTACCTCTAACTGTTAGCCCAAGGTCTCAGTAGTGTTCATTATTTTTGCAGCTAGAAGTCTGTCTTCTAAG